GGCTTGATGTACCAAACTCCCACGCTCAAAGTCGGCGTGCTGCCATTGATCACCAGAGCGTAGAGGTTTTTTTTTTAGTTTTCTTCACCTGTCACCATTGGGTTAACCCAATGCCAACATAAGCTTCACACGGTAAACTGGACAATATGCCAAGTGCTGCGTGTAGACAGCCACTCAAGGCAAAAATCACAAGTATGGGGAACACATAATTTTCCCACCCTCTTTGAACATGGCTACAACATATATAATTTTCAAGTGAACATGGCCAGAAAGTGACTTTAGCCTACTTCTGAGGGGCTGTAACTACCAACTCACTGTAATAATAGCAAAACAAGCTAACAACTGTTTAATGCGCACTGGTTCAGGTTCAACATATATGGCATGGGTGTACATGTCACCCTGAAAGGAGTCACTATGCCATGGCATATCAGTACATGCCACCCTTTGGCAATTTTTGAATGTGTAAATAGTTGAATTTCCATATATAAAACTCACATATTGTTATCACATAATAATGTAAACTCAAGTCTAGTTTAGATTGCTAACAAAGATTCTTAATACCTATACTAGATAATCTAGCAATGGTATGTAAAAAAACAAAAAAACAAAAACAAATACAAGCATCACCAGCCAATCAGCTAAGCACATTGCCATATAAGGCATCCCTTACAATTATTCATATGTCATTGGATGTTAAAAACCACAGGGATGCAACTTCAGATAAAAAGAAGAGAGCAGAGGAGCTCAAGGGGTAAAAGGCTAGTATTGGAAATACCTTAGCGCAGGCATTGCTCCTGTGTTGCTACTTACCTCTGTGGATTCTCCTCCAATGCTATAAGAACTGAAATCTGAATCATTATCATCCTGCGGAGAGGTGATAAAAGAAGAACTATACAGGTCATTACTCTCTGATGAGAATTTGTCGAACAGTGGATTTTGTACCGCCAGATCTTCTATGTGTTGCCATGCCTCTTCGCGTTCTCGTAACTTCTCCTTCTCTCTACACAGGGATAATGAAAATAATTATAATTTTGCCTTGAAGATATCAAGCGGATGAACTATTCTCGAGAATTTCTAAAAAGAATATTTCACATCTTTAAACAATGTATATAAAATATTCTACATTCATTAGATTTTTGCTGTTTTTGTAGAATAGCTAATAATAATTTTCTCATAACTTACTTCTGTCGTTCTGCTTTGTATTGTTGTGTGCACTCATCAAACAGCTTCTGATTCATTTCCATAAACAGTTTAAGAGCATTGTATATTAACCCATGTATAGTCCTGGAAAGTAATTGCATCATGTCATGTTCATATACATTATAGACAGTAATAGTTCAAGTCTACTTAATCTAATTTGCAGTTTTCAGGTCAAACAAAACAGACAGACAGACAGACAGACAGACAGACAGACAGACACAGACACTCAGACACTCATACATAAATTACTATTATGTATAGGTGTGACCAAGCAGATACTGTGGAAAAAAGTAGCTAATTTTATTTCAAATATTAAAAAAAAAATGTATATATAAATATACAAAAATATGAATGTTTAACTATTTGTATATAAATCTCTGAACTTACTTGTTCCAGTGTGACTTGGAATTCTTATAAAGTGCTGGAAACATGATAGGGAGAATGGTTTGCGCATTGTCACTGATTAATGACAATATATATTCATTATTCCAATAGTAGAGAGCTCTTTCTGCAACCTGAAAAGGGGTAGATAAATGAAATGAAGAAAATAAAAACTTCCTTCTTCGGGCTTTATCTCTCCATATATAATTGTCTTAAAAAAACTGCCCAACACACAAATCATGGGACTTACTTGAAAGTGTGGCGAAGATACACATTTGGACAGCTGGCGAAACAATGGGACCATCACCTTCACAAATTCATTGGGTTCAATCACATCCAAAATTTCTTCTAACTCGTTTAAGAACATCACCTGCAAAAAAAGGAGAGGATTTACACTTCACATGTAGTTGCAGAAAATTAAACTAGGCAATGTATCAGTTGGGAGATTAGGAAAAGAGCATAATCACACCCTTTCTTAGAGTCTGATCTAAAAATAATTACAAAATTGAGAAAAAATACAACAGGAGCTGCATTACTCTGACGGTCAGTTTTCCCGAAATCAGTTATCTGGTTCATTCAGTTCTCCCGCACTAAATTTCACAAGAGCAATTTCAAATTTTCCTAGTTGGTGGCAAGGACCTGCCACTACTATTTAACTATCCCAGTCAGGACTTTTGCATATACAGGAACAGATGAATGTACATATTGGAAATCACTAAACCAAATCAGAAATTATAATAATGGTTTGCAATTCCAGGGCACCAAACAAGTGGAGAACAATGCAGTGATGTAAATGAGGAAATCATAGCTGAATCTTAGAGCAGTGGGTAATGGTACTTTACAATGATTACTACAGCAAACCACTGGTTTTATTTATCAATGAATTTCCAAGCTAATAGCTTACTTATAAACGTCAAATGGAGCTTACAAATAACTACTCTGTATTTTTTCTTCATTACAAATTGAGTAAGAAAAAGAATATACAGTCCATATTGACAAAATAATGGATATAAAATATTTTGCAAAATCATGACATACATACCTCCTTGGGACTATGGACTTTTGGCCAAAACTTGAGCAGGGAGATGATAACAGGCTCTGTTAATGAAGGGTCTTTCTCCAAAAATTGGACAACGCAATAGGCCAACTGAGGATGGTACACACTCAAGGACTTAACCTTGTGAAGTGGCAATAGTACTTTCAAGAGGAAAACTTTATGCTCCTCCTTAAGTGGTAGTGCAAACCCATTGATGATACTGCAGGAAAATAGAAGTAGGGAATAAGAATCTTTTAGCAGTAAATAACCAGTTTTCATATTGCATTCAATTTATCATTAAATCTAATATCACAATAAACCATCAAGACTAAAGTAATGATATTTCATAATCAATATCACATAAAAAAAGGAAACGGATAAAAAAAATCAACTTACCTTCCTAAAATTTCTAATAACTCTGCCACACCATTATGATGTTCTGTCTCATAAATGAACCTGAAGAAACATTAATCATTACATCACAGTTTACACTATTTAAATGTTAACCAACTTTAATACATGTATCATAAGTATTGCAAGACATTATTAAACAGTATTTCAGTACAAAAAAATCTTGAAAATGACTTACTTGTAAAATATATTGTTGATTTGCTTGCGAATAAATGCTCTCAAACCTAGGAACTTGCCATATATTCTGTGTAGGGTAGTCTTCAAGAAATCTCTCTCTCTTGGATCTTCAGAATCAAACAGCTCTAGTAGCTAAAAAAAAGTAAAAAAAAAAAGAATGTTTATATTCTACTTACCAATTTTCTCAGACACAGTAAAGGACAAATAAATGAAGGAACATTACATGGTAAAATAAAGAGCAGGGGAAGGAAAAGTCAAGAAAAATAGAAAGAAAACAAGGGAAGGAATGAAAAACAAAAAGAGAATAGAAAGACAAAGGACAATAAGAAAAATAAAGGAATATAGAAATACAAATACTGCACAATATAAAGACAGATACAGAAAACAATCTAACAATAATAATAAAAGAATGGTGGAGCCATCTATTTATAGATAACAAGAGAAGAGGAGGAGTAAAGAAGAAAAGAGGGAAGAAGGGCAGAAATAAATAAAGAGTGATAATAAATACCTGCAGCACAAACTTCTGGTCAATGAAACGTTTGGCGATGGAGGGCTGGAAGTCAGGGCTTTCGAGGAACCTCAGGAAAAACTCGTAGACCAGTTGTAGGTGAGGCCACGCAGCTTCTAAAGTAGGTTCATCCTCTTCTGGGTCGAACTCTGCTCCTACGGGAAAGCCAAGTCAGGTCATGGGAGACTTTTTGAACATAAAAGAAAAGGGTGCACAAAATAACTGAAACAAATATAACATAATTAATAAATAATATTAATGAGTGTGATAAACTGATATTTCATTTAAATCATTTAAAAACATTTAACTGATATAGAAAGGGCAAAGAAACAAATTATGATAAGAATGAAAACATAAGATCATTTATATTGATTTTTTTTTTATAGAGTAATTCTTGTTTATTTCTTTTGAATTGCATCTCAATATATCATGTAAACAAACAAGTGTAAAATGAACTCATAAATTAGGAACAACTATATACAAACTGATAACTTAACACACGTGGAAGGAGGTTTAAAAAAAAATCTTAATAGTGTAGTTACCCTTACTTCAAAACAATTTCTGGATAATGATAATCCACTCTATTATCCCATAATCATAATCTAAAAGAATTTACCTCTCTGTCTAATAAGACATACATATTCAATGATGAATAGACTTGTACATATCTCTATCCAACATTTTAAATCTCGATCTATCAATTCAATCTCTTGTAACAATTAACCAAACCCTTTAGACTCCGAACTGCTGAAAAAAAAAAAAAAAAAAAAAAAAAAAATTACCTATCACTATCTAGAAGTCCTAAATTTACATATCCCTAATAAGTATTGCAGGCCTATGAACAGCAAAATATAAGAGTAGTTACAAAACAGGATATCTTTTAAACCATTAGTCCCTACTGAAAATTAATGGCAACATCTTCACCCACCTGTTATCCACAGCCATGCTAATATCATTGGACTTCAAAGATAAAGGTAATTAAACATAAATTCATTACCAATCATCCATTCATCATTCTGAATACTGAATACTCTTCAAGCAAGAAACAAACTCTCCCTCAGTTCCACTTCTGCAATTCTTACAATACAACAATCCCCATTAGATTTTCGCCACATTAAGAACCCTAAAATTCGCAACAATTTGAATGGGCAATTCCCGATTTCTCCTCAACCCTACTCCTCCAACCCTCTCCTTCCACCTGGAATTTCTGGCAAACCTTACCTGACGGATTACTAGAGGGGGGCAAGGTTCGGAAAAGATTCCCGGCAAACATTTGAACTACTTCTGGATAGACCGGCTCAGTGATGACCTGCCGCTGAGTCGTGACATACTCCACCATCTCATTTAGCGCTGCTCGTTTAACTTCCTTCCATTTCAGGTCACTGAGGGGGTCCGATACGAAATCAAAGAGCACCCCACACTGCCGGATCTTCTGGATGAAGAGCTCTTCCCTCTCATTTGGCTGGGCATCTGAAGAGCAAGGTTCATAATTATTTTTAAAAATCAGAAAGATGTACAAAATGACACATTTTTGGAAGTATAAATATACAATAATTCCTTATACTTTTCAGATCCAATGAAAAATGCAGTAAATACTATTCTCAGTTTGAATGTAACAATCCTATCAAATTCAAAGTGATATGGTACAAAAATAATGCTTTCTATGAACAATATAAAAAAATAGCACAAAAAGAAGATAGTGCTGTTTCTCTTTCTTATAAAGCAGCAATCACATATAATCATTCAAACCCTTCTTTTGAAAATATTCAGAGTATTTACCTCATTGATTATCAATTTCCTCAAATGAGACTACAACTCCGGAGAAAAGTGCTGTGTATATTTCAAATTCAATAAAATTGTGAACTATACCTTTTATAAAAAATGAAATAATTCTGAAATCATAATCAATGTTAAAATATCACACTTTTTTCAGGCAAACAAACAAAAAATCTAAAAATGAAAAGTACCACATTTTGCTGTAAACAAATATTTTGCAAGTTAAAAACAGCTGCCTAAGAAAATACATACATATGATAAATTCTTTACTTAAGTTTTCAAGAAACACTGACACATAGTCAAATTAATTCTAAAAGAAATATTTCCTTGCAATACATGTAATTTCTGGTTCTCCTAATTCTCAGCAACAACAGCTAATTTTATCACCTCAGTTCTGTGTCAAGTTAAGTCTGCATCATATTATCCTGAGAGCAAAGGCAGATGTTCTCAGACTAATAAGCATTATTTCCAGTTTTAGAACTTTCTGCAATTCTTTTACTTATTCATGTTAATAATAAAATGTACATATATATTTTCTCATCTCTATAAGCAAAAAAATCTTCTCAATTTTCACTCTTTAGCTAACAAAAACATTGTATAAATACACTGTACATTATCCTTTAACTAAGGCAATAAATTTCAGAATGAGGCGAGTCTCACAGAGTTTGAAATTATGACTAAAACACAGAAGTCAACCTACTTTATCAGTGAATCTAAAACAAAAAGAAGAGAGCCAAATCTTACCTCTGAGTAATGGCAGCTTTTGTAATTCTCTGTTCTTGGGGATGTTGAAGCGTGACGATGACTGCCGCTTGTCCTTCTTTATAAGAGGAGCCCCAGGGCCAAATTTTATTTTATTAATCTGTGTAGGAGGGGGAACGCCATCCTTAGTGGTGGCAGCGGAGCCCACAGGCCCATCGCTGCCACCACCGGCTGGCGGTTTTTGCTTATCATCATCCGTCTGCTCCTGCTGCTGCTGCGGCTCCTGCTGCTGCTGCTGCTGCTGCTGTGGGGGCTGCTGCTGTGATTGCGGCTGCTGCTGCTGAGCATGTTGGTGATATGGTAGAATTTGATGTTGGTGAGGGTGACGGTAGTTGTGGTGGTTGAGGCAGGAACACAGCAGCAAGTTGTTGTAGTTGTGGTGGTTGTTGTTACCATCAGCGGAGCCACGCACGCACAACACCAAGCAACACACACAGAGAGACCAGCAGTTAGTTATAGTGGAAGAGACAACATACAATACTACTTTTAAAGAGAGTCAGTGCAACAAATCTTACTTAAAGTCCATCTTGGTTTTTAGGATGGCACTGGAGGAAACTGTCTGAGGTACAGAGACATCTGGAACTATGATTTTGTGCCAAGTTGAATTACAGAATAGTTGGCACCTGCAATAAAACTTGAGAGCAAGTGAAGTTCCCTCAGTCTCCCTACAGCACAGTGTGACATGGCAAGTCCCCAAGTCAAGTGACTATTTTCCCAATGAGATATTCACAAGTGAAGTGAGAATTCTTAAATATAGCCCTGTTGGTTTGCCATATCACATACACAAGAGCTTTCTCATGCTTTTTTTTCTAGATATACAAGCAGCAAAAATATGAGTTACAAGAATAATGAAAAGTAAGTCACATGAAATATAGAAAGAAATGTAATAAATATCTGTAGTAGCATATTCAAATATCATTCAAAACATAAAAAAGGAAAAATAAAGAGAAAGGAATAAAAACAGACATTTCTTTTTAACCTTTGTCAAAGATAATCATATATCTACTCTAATAAATTCACATTTACAATATCTATGCACTTCAGACACATGGGATTTTTTGTCCAGACTTATAAAATGTTATACCTGATTAGCATTTCTTCTAGAGGGGGGAAGGGCTATGATTATAACTAAACTGACATCCATGCATATCTACTTTCCCCCAGATTTACGCTCTTGTGAACTCCAAAGGAATCCAAATATCTTACAGCTTGTCAAAACACCTATCCATAATATAAAATCTGACAGAATACACAAGGTACTTATGTTTTGTTATTACTATTACTGATGACTCTACTTCTATTCAATCTTACTAAAAAGTCTTTTTGGTGTACTAAAGTAAATCACACCCAAAATGTTATGGCTATTACTTCAGAGGTTTTCTACTAGAACACATATTTTACTTTTTACTCTTGTTAATCACAATTAACTTCAGCAAACTGGTGTTTGAATGAATAATGATAAATATCCTATACAAACAGCATGATATCCATAGACAATGAAGAAAAAAAGGAAATGAAAGTAGACACAAAGGAAATTTCTAAAAAAAAAAAAAAAAAAAAAAAAAAATTGAATGCTTTAGAAACAAAACTGCACATACATTCCTAACAAATATTGAAATTTGCTGGAAAGAAGAGAATGACAAGGAAAATATGGAGGAAGGGGAGGGAGGAGGAGGGGAGGAGGAGGAGCAGGAAAAGGATGGAAGACAAGGGAAGGTGAGAGAAAAAAAAAGGCTGGCTGAGGAAGAAGGAAGGAAGAAGGAAGGAGGAGGAAAGAGGAAGGAGGGAGGAGGGAAAAGGGAAGTGAGAGCTGGGAGGAAGAAAGGAAAGAGAAGGAAAGGAGGAAAGAGGAGGAATGGTGAAAAGAGGTGGAAGGAAAGAGGTAGAAGGAAAGAGGTGGGAGGGAGGAAAGAGGCAAGAGGGAACGAAATAGAGGGGAGATGGGTGAAAGGAGGAAGGAGGAGAAGAGAAGGAAGAGGAGGAGGAGGAGGAATAGGAGGAAGAGGAGGAAGAGGAAGAGGAGGAAGAGGAGGAAGAGGAGGGAGAAGAAGAGGAAGAGGAAGAGGAAGAGGAAGAGGAAGAGGAGGAGAAGGAAGGAGGAAAGAGACACATAAGAAGCTCAAGGTGGATGAGGATATGGACACAGATGAGGTGGATGAAGGAGAACAAGTGGAGAATAAAGAGGGAGAGGTTATCTAATCTACCATATGTAACCAAGAACAGCAATCCACATAATGACAACAGTATATAAACAAAATGCACCCCCTCCTGGTATCATCACAACAAATCCATGAGATGTGGCATGCATCCTCACCAAGCTGATCTTACTTACGGTAACCTTAGACAATCAGTGTTTAAATCTAATGCACACCCTTTGTTATCAGGCTTCACAATCATGCTGTACATTATCAAGCTTGCAAATGATCAGATGATCGAATGTGTTATCTCAATCAAACGACAGGTTTTAGTTGAGAATTATCCATCAAGGAATGATTTAGTGGTGAAACATGGGTTATGGTCCTTTTTGGAACACAGCCAAAAAAAATCATCATTATGCCTTACAATTCAACATGTCTGGTGTTCCACCCTATCAAAAGGATGCTGTACATGCCAAGGCAACCTAATAAAGACTCCTGCATTTATTTCTTCTTTTTTTCCTTCAAAGAATGAAAGAACTATGACATTTACCCTATCACATACACATTTACAAAAGATCCTTCCTACGATCATGACACGAGAATCAGAATCACTTAGTCTAGCTAACTTCTCTCTTCCTGATTTTTTGTTTATAAATACCTGTTAGTACCATTGCAATACTGGTAACTTCTAAGTATTCTCAATCTATCTATCTGGTAAGTTACACTGGCTAGGGAAACCTTAAAATGGGTACTTGTTACCATCCCACAACACTTAAAACTCTTTCTTGATTTCTGTCATAAAACCCTTTCTTGATTTCAGTCATAAAACCCTTTCTTGATTTCTGTCATAAGACCCTTTCTTGATTTCTGTCTATGTAACATGTACTAAATGACTGTAATTTGAGATAAATCACCAAATGAATAATTAACTATTGACAATGTATTCTCAAAAGATTCTGAAGTATTGGTTATTTATCATTATTAGTTAATCTACTGGTAATCAAGTTTCTTATAGAAATTTTTAAAGCATATTTACACAATTTAGTGTTTAACCATTAGAGCAATTGGAAAATAACATCCAGGACCAGGGCCATACAGTTTAAGCCTTGTACACACCAAAATATCTAGCACTGTGGCACAAATACATTAAATATTTCATCTGGTACACGACAATTGAAAAGTAGCAACCAAAAAAATAAGTGAAAACTCTGGGCCATATTTAGAAACATGTCACCTCTGTCTCTAGACTGTCTAGAAAATGTTGCAAAAAGTTTTCAGACATTCATACAAATTTGTTGCTGGAATGTGAGGTGACAGACTCCTATATTCAAAGGAGACAAGATACAACTGTAATCCTGTCTCTGGACTTATTGTTCAACAGTTGTGTGACTGTCAAATGAATCTATAATGACACAAAAATAATGTCACAAAATAGTCCATTGCCACAGTATCTTGGTGTGTATAAAGACCAGAAACTGTCAAGAAATTGTTGCTAAGTCTCTTGATTTTGGGAACAGTTGCAAGAAAGTCTCAAGATCATGTTTCATGATTTTGTATCCTTGGGTCTGTATGAAAACAAATTTACAAATGGTGTTTTAAAAGTATGGTAAGCCTTTTTACCTAATAATATAGTTACCATATTCTGTGTCTAGATGTTTTGCCATTATTATAGATGATGTTATTATCTAGCAACACGCTGACACTCTAAAGCTGCACAGAATGATGTGAAAAGTGTTTGATGGACATAGAGCAGATTGTTATTTGCTACATTAGCAGGTATACTGCACTGCATTGTAGGGAGTGTACTCAAATTTCTGTAGTTTATATAACCATGATTCACACTAGACAATAAATAAATAAAATCAACTGGCAACAAAAACACATCTACAAAATGTCTGCATCTAAGTGACAAGTATCAGCAATGAGAAAAAAGGTTTGGCAGAACTGCACTTGCTCAGCTGGCCAGGAGTCTGACTGTCTGGCTCATGTATGACATCACAGCCACCTGTGAGAGGATTTCCCAGGCTGACTGTCATTTACTAAATGCATGAGTTTGGCATTTTCTTGCTAACTTCCTTGTCTTCTGTACCATGAGAAATAAGACAACAATTTTGCCAACCTGGAGAGACTACTTTTCTTTTACTAGTGTAATGCTCTAAGGTTATGACCCAATATATTGTGAAATGTGCACTTACATTTTTATAAAATGCTTAAAAAAATAAATAAATATGCCATAAACAAGTAAATGAAAATAAACAGAAAAATTAAATTGTTATCTAAGCAGTACATAACTAATTAGCCCTATGAAAGACCAGCTAATCTGCATAAAAAATGCAAGTACATAAGTAGAAGTATAAAAAAACACTTACCCATTATGTGAAAAAAGACTATAGATACAAATATTTCCTACATAACTAATAAAAAGAAATAATAAAACTTCTACCTATCATCTAGATGCTAGTCTTAGAAAATATGATGCTGAACACTAACTATATGCATCACCATACATCACAAAATCATCTTTTAACAAGTTACTCTAATAATATTCCACAGTAAAGAAATACATGCTTGTAGACTAATACTAACGATTGTGCGAGTTCATTCAATAAATTACAATTTTCCTTTTTCTTTCCTAAGTCATTTCCTATATTCATATTCATATGTAAACTTCACTATTCTCTCATATATTATTCACAATATCCATTTACCATACAGATTCATTATTCCCTTTTTTATAAATTTCTTTGTATAATCATCCAGTCATTTATGATATATTTTCTTGAATATCTACTGATTTTTGTGTGTGTGTGTGTGTGTGTGTGTGTGTGTGTGTGTGTGTGTGTGTGTGTGTGTGTGTGTGTGTGTGTGTCTGTGTGCGTGTGCGTGTGCGTGTGCGTGTGCGTGTGCGTGTGCGTGTGCGTGTGCGTGTGCGTGTGCGTGTGTAGAACTCTCTCTTCAGACTTTACTATTACTGAATACCTGGGGGCCAAATGCCACAAAAATTTTCCATCCGTGTTTTTGGTGTCTAACTCACTGTAAACTTTTTTTTTTTTCCAATGTATAAAAAAAAAAGAAAAAAAAATGCAAATTCATCTGCAATGCTCTATGATCAACCCTTAACAGCGTACACCACCACCAAAATCATGCAATTCCACAACACATTAAACAAGGTTCTCATTAAAAGGTACTGGTCATTTCCCAACCAGATAAACAAAAGGAGTTTATCCACTGCAACAAATACAAGAAATCAAAATCAAAATTCTAAATCTACACCACTTCTTCACATTGATACCCTAAAGAATGTGATATCTACCACATGATTTAACCCCGTGGCATATCCTCTGTCAGACTCTTACTATCTTCCCTCGTGACTACATTACCTTTCTAAACCATTAAACAACCTATAGTCTGCCCTTATACATTAACAAGAACCTTGTTAAAAAATACAAAGATGCCTTAAGAGCTAATGAGAAGAAAAGCATCACAATGGGCATATTCATTCTCTGCACAACACTATTCAAAAGACTTCTCTGCATCTCCTGTATGGAATGTAAATGGGGCATTTTGAGCCACTTCCTTGCAGTTTTGAAGTACACAAAAAAATCAACTGTGTCTATCCAGGCATTCAGGCAAAACAGCACATCTGGCAACCATATCTACACACCTAAGAGCACTACAACTTAAATAGAAAGAAAGAGAGAATCAAAGAAAGACAGAAAGAAAGAAAAAAGAAAGAAAAAGAAAGAAAATGGAAGACTGGAGAAAGAAAGAAAGAAAGAAAGAAAGAAAGAAAGAAAGAAAGAAGAGAGAAGAAAGAAGAAAGAAGAAGAGAAGAGAGAGAGAGAGAGAGAGAGAGAGAGAGAGAGAGAGAGAGAGAGAGAGAGAGAGAGAGAAACCGAATGAAGAAATCTTGAGAATGAATAGAATTTATAGACAGGAATGTGAAGGTGATGATAAATTTTCTAATGACAGTATGTAACGTATGTGGCAGCGATAAGAAAGAATGAGTATGGGGGATATTTAGCAGATCGGCAACTCCCTCAGCAGACACGTGGTGCTGTATATATCAAATCAAATCTTATCAGGTGAGACATGACAGGTGAACTGCCAGCCATAAAGAGTCAATAGTTTAATTTAGTTTTTTTCTCCACCCTAACATCAATCACATTCAAATCTATCATCGATAAAATTCACATTCATGAAGGACTGTTATAAATGCAAGTAAAATCTCTTTAAACAATACACCTACAAACTAATTCAAAATGGAAACCATTCTGTAATGATCAGCAACAGTACCTAATTAATATTTATATGAAAAATTGGCCAAATAATAAAAAAGAGCTTAACTATAGGAAACTGATTAATTAACCTGATACATACCACAAAACTACAATTAAAAAAAAAAAAAAAAAAAAAAAAAAAAAAAAAAAAGGTGTCTAGACAAAAGTAAACCTTAACCCAAAGAGTGAATGATGTGATTTGGAATTTCCCTAATAATAATAATAATATAAAAAAAAAATCATACAGAGCCCCTTTGTAACTATTCCTATTGAAAAGTTCTTGTCTATCATCAGATAACCCAACCTTCCTCTGACAAGTGCATTGTTAGAGAGGTTCTTGTATTCCCTCAATGCCAGGATGGGAAAAATATCTGCCATCTCCACTGTGATTTTTGTTTATTAATTGCATTTGAATGCCAATGGCTTCACAAGTGCTTAGTCACCAAGGAGACAATTACTAGTCCTATCTATCTCACCTGTTTACCATGTTACCTTGATTTTCAGAAAGATTGTTTTCAATTCTTTATTTATTTTTTTTTTGCTATTAATATTGTTAATAACACTATACTGAAAGAGTAACAGTACTAACCCAAACATTCCAAATGACATGACCATGAAAAAATTTAGGTTGAGGGGCATGTGACATGAACATGCTGTCATGGGAAAATCTGGCTAAAGGCCGGAGTAATGGGAAAGCCATGGCTGGAAGAGCACTGGCTCCTGAGAGGACAGCATTATGTTGTATTACAGAAAACTAATTATTTAGAAAAAAAAAACTATAATGACACAAAAAATAAAATGTCTATTATTGCTATAATTCTTCCACTGAATTACAGACTGCCTAGGTAGATGATATGGAGTCTGTGCAAGGAAAACAGTCTATTACCATATGGATAAAGCAAATCAAATGACAAATATAGACAATGGAAAATGGCAAAAAAAGCTATATACGCTTATGCATAAAAAGAGTAAATAAACTTGCAAAAGGGAGGCACAGAGTCTTGTTACTGCACACAAGTGTTTTTATGCATCCGACCTACAAGCCATGCACTCGTCAGAGTTGCCGCTCACGTATGCCTAATGCCCACATTCTGGGCCATGTGATTGCTGTGAAGCACTTGGATCCAATGGGTTAATATCATTTGGAAAAAAAAATCAAGGAAATGAGAAATTAGGGTAAGAAAGATTGGCCTACTAATTGCTTTCTTGATGACTGAGCAACTGTGGAGACATCTTTGTATAAACAAAATTCACAATAGAAAACAACAGCAGATAGTACAAATACTGAGCATTATTATAAGACACAGTTTATATGGTAAACGGAAAAGATTAATTTTTGAGGCCTGCATCATTCTAGTTTTTCTTTTAAATCCCAATATAGGGCCATTTGTTTTTGCAATTAACAAGAATACATGAAAAGATAAATAACAAAGGCTAACATTCACAATAAATCCCAAAGCATGTATACCTTAATGACTTATTTCCTGGGTGAATCTTTTTACTGAATTTACTTAATTTTACTATTAAGCTTATTTTAAAACATGTGAAGCCAACTGTATGACCTACATGCCAAAAATGTAAAGAATGTTATTCAACCTAATTATTGGGACTACTGTGACACAATATATTATCACAAGCAACGTCACAATCACACATTAATATCAGATGCAACGTTTGTGATATCAACAGCTTAGAAAAAATACAGGTGCATATACATATATGTTCTAAATGCAAGTAGCACTAAAACCCATAACATAATCAAAATATGGCATAATCAAGCCTACAAAAAAAAAAGAAAGAAAAAATCTGGTAATCTTTCATCTCACTTTCTTTGATGAGTTTAAACAAAAACTGTCTGACTCTAATAACTTTACTACAGTCTTGCAGTTAATTAACCATTCCAAAGATTTATGCATGTGTGAAGAAAATGCAAGTCTAATTTCTCATGCCCTAAAGTCATTAAAAATAATATTTATGACACTCTTTCAAGTTCAAAGCTTAGAGACAGCTAAAAATAACCAACTGCCTTCTAATGTAAAGTATCCAAATATAATCTACATTGATAGTAACATTTATAAAGCCCATCTCTAAATTTAGTCAACTTCCCTTTACTTTCTACGTTTTTTTTTAGCAACTTGACTCTCGTAAGTGCATTTGCAAGAGAAAAACAGCATAGCTATATCAACATTATATATAAGTAAACATATTGGCATGAACAGATCCACTTTCCTTTCCAGAAAAAGTATGTATACACATTATTTTGCATTTCACAAGAGAAAAAAAGAACCCGATACATTCTTCAACACTATCTACCCTATGAGTAAATGTATTCTCCACATTATCTCAGATAACCCTTAAAAACAATTAAGTCGCTGGAAACTTACATCATCTGTATCCTTTACAACCTGGTTCTTTGCAGTATCCTGTAAAAAAGAGAAAAAAGGAAAAAAATTAATAAACCTGAGTATCACATATACTTGACATTATTCCATAAAGCAAATCCCACCGGCACTAATTCTTACATTTAAGAGTTTACGTCTGAGAGGTACATAACTAGGGTTCAAAGACAGAGAATCGAGGAGGAGGAGGAGGAGGAGGAGGAGGTAGGGGACCTATTCAAGCTTAATTGCTGTTAACAGTATCCAAAGACCAAAATTTCTAATAAAGATAGGATGCTGGAGAAAAATGTGATCAGTGGAAAAGAGTCCTGAAGCACTTGGAGAAGATGGGAGATGGGAGATGGGAGATGGGAGATGGGAGATGGGAGGGGGGGGGGGGAATAAACCTATTGATTTATCTAAGCCATACAAAAAGTGAGGCAGGGGAGACGGAAGACCAGGGATTGGTAAGGAGGGAGGGGGGAGGGGGAGGGAGGGAATATGAGAGGGAGGCAATATGAGAGAGAGAGAGAGAGAGAGAGAGAGAGAGAGAGAGAGAGAGAGAGAGAGAGAGAGAGAGAGAGAGAGAGAGAGAGAGAGAGAGAGAGAGAAGAGAGAGAGAGAGAGAGAGAGAGAGAGAGAGAGAGAGAGAGAGAAGGAGAGAGAGAGAAGGAGAGAGAGAGAAGGAGAGAGAGAGAAGGAGAGAGAGAGAAGGAGAGAGAGAGAGAGAGAGAGAGAGAGAGAGAGAGAGAAGAGAGAGAGAGAGAGAGAGAGAGAGAGAGAGAGAGAGAGAGAGAGAGAGAGAGAGAGAGAGAAAGAAAGAAAGAAAGAAAGAAAGAAAGAAAGAAAGAAAGAAAGAAAGAGAGAGAGAGAGAGAAAAAAAAAAGGAGAGAGAAAGAAGGAGAGAGAGAGAGAGAGAGAGAGAGAGAGAGAGAGAGAGAGAGAGAGAGAGAGAGAGAGAGAGAGAGAGAGAGAGAGAGAGAGAGAGAGAGAAAGAAGGAGAGAGAGAGAGAGAGAGAGAGAGAGAGAGAGAGAGAGAGAGAGAGAGAGAGAGAGAGAGAGAGAGAGAGAGAGAGAGAGAGAGAGAGAGAGAAGGAGGGAGGGAGGGAGGGAGGGAGGGAGGGAGGGAGGAAGGGAGGGAGGGAGGGAGGGAGGGAGGGAGGGAGAGGGAGAGGGAGAGGGAGAGAGAGAGAGAGAGAGAGAGAGAGAGAGAGAGAGAGAGAGAGAGAGAGAGAGAGAGAGAGAGAGAGAGAGAGAGAGAGAGAATGACAGCGAGAGAGAGAGAGAATGACAGAGAGAGAGAGAGAGAGAGAGAGAGAGAGAATGACAGAGAGAGAGAGAGAGAGAGAGAGATTGAATGACAGAGAGAGAGATTGAATGGCAGAGAGAGAGAGAGAGAGAGAGAGAGAGAGAGAGAGAGAGAGAGAGAGAGAGAGAGAGAGAGAGAGAGAGAGAGAGAGAGAGAGAGAGAGAGAATGAGAGAGAGAGAGAGAGAGAGACACTAAAGAAATAATAATAATCTTAATGAAAAGTCTATTGCAAATCTACACATAAAAAAGAGAAGAGGTATCACAGCAAATTACAGCATAAAAAAGTAAGGTAATTGAAGGTAATATCATTATAATAGTAGACCTAAATTTATGATCCAATTTTTCTCTGTAATTCCAAACTGAACCTGCTAAATAAATCAAGAAAAGCTTTCACTCAATAATAATGAGACTGAATAACAATAAAAACAATATTAACAAGACAACAATAACGATAACAATGATGATGATGACAATAATAATAATAATAATAATAATAATAATAATAATAATAATAATAATAATAATAATAATAATAATACACAATAAAAAAACAATAATAATAATCAAAGTAGTGCTAATGATAACAACAATAACAAAAACAATATCAACTACATTAATGATATCAATAATATCAACAAAATAATAATAACAATAATGAAATAATACAAAATGATAATAGTTATAATAAAAATTATGCAGTAATAATATTAAAAATAATCAATAATAATAACAATAACAATGATAACAATAACTATAACAATGACAGCAGCAGCAGCAACAACAAACAAAGTAGCAACAATAATAATAATAACATAAAAGAAGCAGCAGCAGCAATGATAATGATAACAATAATAATAATAATTATAATAATAATAATAATAATAATAATAATAATAATAATAATGATAATAATAACAACAACAACAACAAGAATGATTGTAATAATGATTAAGATAACGATAATGATAACAACAATAACAATAATAATAATAATAATAATAATAAGACAATAATAATAAATTATAATAATAATAATAATAATAATAATAATAATAATAAAATAACAGTTACAATATAATAATAATAATGAAATAATAATGATAATAAAATAATAATAATTATATTAATATTAGTATTAATAAT